GCGTCGTACGACGAAAATCGGATGCAGTGTGAATCCAGCAATTGACCGTCGAGCGTCATCATAAAAAGTCACCCTAATCGTTTCCGTGTGCAGAAGCCATTAGAACCTTCCAGGTGAAGTTTCTGAACACAGCCTTACATATACATATATGCGCAATAGACTATTGCGCAGCAGACTATTGCAACGGCCATCATCGATACTAGCGCACTCTGTGATAAATTTTCTTTGTTTGGATTAAGGCCTGTTTAGATGCTTTGTGGTCACATGACATATCAAATTGACCAATCATACGTCTGATATGGAAGACGCCATATTACTTTTTTTGTAAAATGTCAAGTCATTGTATGATCACATTCGTCTGAACAGGCCTTTAGGTGCTTCTATTCTTCCTTTTTCTCATCCGTGACATACGATTAAAGCTTTCTACTGTTCTCTTATGTATGGGTACCATTTTCGAAGATCAAATTTCCCTAACGACTGACCAATAACAGTGCATATACGGACATTAATAATATTCCAATCTTTACATTCGATTATCATATGGACAAAAGTACCGTAAATTTTCTGCGTGAAGTACTTTTACAGCCTTCATTTTCTTTTCTGTCGTCATAAAAACGGAAACTAAAGACCAGTTCAGACCAATTTTCTGTTGATCAAGCATCAACTTGTCATTGAGATGTGAACTTTATGTACTTTTATCTGTATCTTCTGAACGAATCATCAACGAGGGCAACGAAATAATTAGAAGCAAGGCAAGTAGAAAAGCTGCCTTTCTTCTTTCAGAAATAGAGTTCGGCGCGCTTATGGATTCCATAAAGTTACTATTTCCAAGAGACCGAAAATGCGTGTTTGTGCACGAACTCCTTTGTTGAATGTTTCGCGAATTACGCATGGTTGTGAAAAGTACTAAAACATAAAATGTTTTCTTGATTAAATGAAGATGTTCGATAGGACATCATTGCATAGATTATGGATGGTTATCCATCAAGAATACACTGTTTTTTGGTATGTGTATGTTACTATCAATATGTCGCTGTTTGACAGGAAGTCGGTCAGGATATTTCGGGAGGCATTAAGTTACGAGTGCAAATTTACTTGGCGGTAGCACTTGTTCACAATTCGCTATTTCGAACGAGATACCTGATGGAAATGGAAGTCATCTGTATTTCGTCCGATGACGAATCAGATTCGCAAAAGGTTTGACATCCATAAAAATTGCATTAGTAGCAGTGCAGATAAATATTTTTTGAAATTTCTTGCGAGATTAGCTGATTTTAGAGTAAATATTTTTTTTAATATACATGGTTTTATTTACTGAATTCGACTATTGATTACTATTGGTCGAATTGGTTTATGTTTAGGGGACTGAGGACAATAAAAAAAGTAAGAAAAAAATGAAATTTTATTCAAATTTCTCTAATAAAATGTCTGCATTGATCTCTTTAAAATTTAGTTTATAAGAATGACAGCTTACATAATTTAAAAAAATATATTATTTTAGGATAATAAATTTATCTCCTTAAAAATGCTGATTCTAAGAAATTTATTATTTCAGGAAAACAAAACGGATAAAGTTCTAATGAAGTCTGCAGAGATTAATAATGGAACCTTTGCTCATGAAGAAACGGAAATTTTACTGAATGTTAATGATAAAATTGAAGAAAAGAATTTGAAACGAAAAATAATGCATACAAAGAAAGAAATAACTTGTAGTATAGAAAAAAGGAAAAAGTTAGATGTTGATCAGGCTGAGTCCGAAGTGATAAGTAAACCTAGTATATGTTCTATAGATGTTTTACCTGAGATATATCTTGTTAAATCTAATTATAATGAACAATCAAATAAAGATCAGGAAATAAAGACACAATTGATTGTGAAGGAAAAGAAAAAGATATCATATATCTCACAGGACGTTTTTCCCCTATTTATAAGTTTATGTCTGCAAAAATGTCCAAAACAAGATAAATCAGAAATGGCCATTATTGTTGATAAGTTAAAAAGACGTTACGAAAATTTAGATCCAATTTATGTGAGATCAGATAATTTTGTTGCGTTTTTAAATGAGAAACGCCAAGCTATTACGAATGACAGCAAAAAAATATACGTGCACATACAGGAAGTGATGAATGAGATGAAAAAAAGGGCTAAAAAGAAATCCCAAACATCGCAAATTAATGAAATCTATGATGCAGTTCCTTCTACTTCCTATGCTATGAACAATGTACCTATTAATGCAGTAAAATCGGATAATGATAGTGAGGATGATAATAACGAAGAGGACGATAATAACGAAGAGAACCTTGAAACAAGAATAAAGGTGAAGAAAATATTATACGCTATGAAAAAATGCGATGCAATTATTAAGAAGTTGGAAGAAGCAGAAGTTGATTTTAATGAGGAAAATGATAGTAATTACATAAAAGTCGAAAGGTATAAACAGAAAATGATAGAACTATATGATAAACTTTGTAAGCTAACAGGAGAAAATGCTGATGCAGGACGTACATATTTGCGTCCTAAACATTTAAATGTAACTCGGATTGTTGCTGTGGATCAAGCAATAACGAATTTTATTAACTGTAAAATTACTCAACGAAATCAGTTGAAAAAAAAAGGAAGTCTTACAGATAATTTAATATTCCCTGATTACAGGGACATCTTGGAATGTGTCAATAGATGTAATGAAAAAAGAAATTTAGGTTTAAATAGTAAAAAGCGAAAACAAATGGGTAAGAAACATGTATCACATGATTGGTATATTCCGTTATATCCTAAAATATAAACTAATTAAATGAAAGAGCTCACTGAGCACTGAGGTTGTCGTTCTGAATGCACCCATAGTTTTAAGTTTTTGAGAATTTTTATTTGTATAATATATTTATTATACATTTATTCGTTATATTTATGTTATATATTATTATATAATATTTATAATATTATTTATAATAATATATATTTAATATATTTAATTGTTATTGCAGCAGAGAGAGCTTTCAAAGAACTTGGAGAATACTTGCAACGCTCAAGACGTAATGATTATTGGGATACCTTTTCTTTGTATCTTGAAAATTCAGAAGATCCAGCTACAAAAGATAAAGATTTAGCAAAAAAACTCGCTGACAATCGTACCGAGGGTGAAAAACGATTAGCTGCCGTATTTGAAAAATATACAAAGAAACAAACGGAACTACGAAACCAAAATAATGAAGGAACAATTTCGGAGGAAGAAGAAGATGAAGATGAAGATGAAGATGAAGATGAAGATGAAGATGAAGACGAAGATGAAGATGAAGATGAGGATGAAGAAGTAGAAGTAGAAATAGGAAGTATTACATATGAGGATAAGAGTGATGATATCTTATCTATATCAAGTGAAGAGGACAATGAGAAGGAAGAAAACACAGATAAAACAGTTAAAATAAATGAATTACCTGTGGAAAAGGATAAACCTAATATAAATATGATAAATATACATTATGCTATGGATATTTCAAATAAAACCATAGTAAATACCTTACCAGAAAAATGTAACAAAACAGTTGAAATAAAAGTTAGAAAAGAAAGTAATATGGCAGTATCAAATAAGAATAAGACAATTAGTGAGAAAATAGTTCAGAAACCATGCAGTAACAACATTATTCCAAGGAACGTGACAGATGTGAATAAACCATGCAGTAGTAACACTATTCCAACAAACGTCGTGACATATGTGGATAAACCATGCAGTAGCAACACTATTCCAAAGAATGTTGTAACAGATGTAGCTAAACCTTGCAGTAGCAACACTGTTACAAGGAACGTTGTGACAGATGTGAATAAACCACATTGCAGTAGCAACACTATTCCAAGGAACATTGTGACAAATGTGAATAAACCATGCAGTAGCAACACTATTCCAAGGAACGTTGTGACAAATGTGAATAAACCATGCAGTAGTACTATTCCAAGAAACATTGTGACAGATGTGGATACTATTAGCAAAAAGATAGTTCATAAACCATGCAACATTACTTCAAGGAACCTCACGAACGATGTGAAAGATGTGGATAACAAAAAGCAAGAGGATTCGCTACCAGCAGCTTCTACATCAAACTACACAAGTAGTATATACATATATTAATAGAATTGGAGATACATAAGATAAATAAACAAAAATAGAAGAGTCATAAACATTATTTTATATGTATGTTGTAGAGGATCTAGCAGAGGCCAAAGTGAAAGGTCCAAGGGAATCCAAAGTTATGACAGATCCTGCAACAAAGAAGGATGTGGCAGTTACGGTAACCAGCATGGAAAATACAGCAGAAGTAGTAACAGAAAATGTTATGGATGAAGTAACTGAGAATATACCAAACAATGAGCCACCGGAAGAGGAAAAGAAACCTTTATTGCGAGTGCGTTCATTTGCTAAACCTCCGAGGACTTGGCAGGATAACCAACATAAAACAGACAAGACCGCCCAAAAAAATGCGCCAAAGGTAGTAAATCAAATTAAAGAAATTGTTGATTTGACTAATGAAGGAACGGCCAAACCTGTTACCAAGTGCGCTGTACAACTTGGAAACAAAGTAGTTCCCCTAGTGAAACGTCATACAGTAACGTTCATACCATCAAGTAGCAATATAATTAGCGTCAAAAATATTACGAATAATTATCTGAAGGTAAATACGCGAACAGGCCAAATTATAGCTCCTGTGCATGATATTCGCACAGGAGCTACGATAATCCGACTGCCAGTTCAAACTACTGGTCAGAGTCAACTACAAAACACGAATTTAACAAACGAAGTATCTTTAAAAGGAAAGAGGGTATTAAAAATTGTACCTACGAAGTCGATTATCTTGCCTAAGCCATCGGTAGTGCCATCCGTCTCCAAGCAAACGGATGTGAGTTCATCGATAACACAATCCAAATGACTCAAATACATAGTAAGGACTATTCTTTTAGATCATTGTTATACAAAAGTGATGTCGATTCGATCACTTTATCAAGATTAATCTTGTTTTTAAATTTACATTTAATGTGTATAATAAATATTTCTAGTTTATAAGCCAAATATATAAAGAGATATAATAATATAATTCTTAATAAATCTTTTTAGCAAATTTGAATTGTATATTATATTGAATACAAAGTGCCTTATAATAGATTCCATTAACTTTACATATTCATCTAACAAAGGATCGCATCTGGTTGGAGACACTTCAATATCAACTTAGCAAGATGATAGTTTGGATCTAGAAGTTTCTCCACTATATCAAAGTGGTCGATGTCTTGAAGTAAAAGGTATTCCACATTATCCACAATAGAAATAAGTTTCTAAAACAATAATACAATGTTAGTTTGATACAAATTTGCGCAGTGATATTCAATATATAATAGGTTTGGTTTTTATTGCTGTACTAGAACTTTCCTTATTATTTTCACCAAATTTGAAACATGTTTATTTCACTTTCACTTATAGTACAGGGAGTGTATAATTTAGCTACAAAAAAACAGATCTAATATTTAATCAAGTACCTGGGCGTATTCACGCGATTCATCCACAAATGCTGGGGAATCGCAATCGCCTACGATTACGATAACTTTCAAGTTAGTGATACGATGGCCTTTTGCTTTGTCAAAGGTAGAAATACTGAATGCCTTAATTTCTTCGCTGAAAACAATAATTTATGTATATTTATTAAGAAATATATATTCGTGTTATACATATTGAAAACAAGTATATACACGGATGCCCTGTATATAATTACTCGGTCAATTTAAGGGCAACTGCAAAACTGATATTGGTTATAGGTTTTAAATTATAAATGCCGCTTATCAGTATGATTTCCTTTAATAGTGTAAAATATCCTTGCTGTGTCATGCGATTGATCCAATCGCCATCGTGTAATAAACATGCAGCCAAATGTGCTCCAGCACTATGTCCAGCGATGCACACATATCTATGTACATTACGTATTTGTATTATAAACAATTCGTTTTCAATTAAAATTTTTGTCTATATGAGTAGAAAATTAAGGTATAAAACGTACTTAGAGCCTGAATCAGCTGCATATTTTAATATCTGTGCGACCGCTGATTTTATTTCTGCTACTATATCTCCAATTCTGACTGAAAAATATTAAAAAATTTATTACATTATTTTATATGATAAGATAATCTTTTAATCTGAGAGTTTCGACCATAATTTATATATCTATATAATAAGTTTCGACAAATTGTAAAATTCATTTCATAAACTGTTCAATTCTTTTAGCTATAACACGTTTTAAAGAATTTTTGAAATTTTAAATTGTGTGTGTGTGTGTGTGTATGTAAATTAATAATTAAAGACAAGAGAGATGAAAGACCAATGAAAGACAAAATAATGATATAATTCAATAGAATTTTATATTTTCTCACCATTCGGACACAAATCGTATCCAACTGTTATTACTTTGATCTTATTTTTAACAAACAAAGGTACCGAGAAGCCAGAGAGATCCTTGCTGAATTCCTGCCAATATCCGCCATGGATAAATACAAATATCGGCGCATCTAAAATACGCAACTGTTTTAGTGTGATATAAATACGAATGTAAAATATATCAATTCGTTAGAAAATAATCCGCAATTTAATATCTTGCAGATTATTGAAAAGGAATGAGCAGATTATAACGGAATAAGAAATGAAAATATTAATATATTCGCGCCAAAAACAATTTTCTTGAGACATTCATATTATATTTTATTTCAATTTTGAACGAACCAAATTGTATGCGTATATATAAACTCATGTTTATGTATCGAAGGAATAAATGATTCAAGCCGAACTAGATATATTTTGCAAGTGAAAGCTTTACCTTGGAAATAAATTTTACGTAGTTTATTGAGAACACAGAGAAATCTAATAAAATAATAAATTTTCAAGTATTAATTTGATAAATTTATTTCTTTTGTTACTTTTTTCTTAGAAATACTTATAATTATGAAAATATAATGGTATAGAATAAAAAATTATGGAAATAATTTTCATTTCTTATTCCGTTATAATTATGGAGATAATTTTTTATTGAAAATTAAGGTATATTGTTCCAGAAGTTTGGCACCTAAAACTTCCATCAAATCGTTACGTTTATATGTATACCTTTCGGTAAATCGATGCCATATATGTCATACTTTGCGCGCTCTGTAGGACCGTACGGTACATTAAGTTCACATTTAACAGTTTTCCGAGTCTTTTCCGTAACTGCAATAACAAAGACCTTCAGTGATCACATGATATATCTGACACGCCTTTCTTGTGGTGCGTAATAATAGTACGATCAGAAAAATCTTATAGCTTTTCTATTGGGAAAACTAGTACAATACTGGTGCATACTAATTAACCTTTTAACTCTTTTTTAATTACATATTCTATGTTGTCGTGATAACACTATAACGTTTAAAGGATTAAGTTATTTATTAATACTGAAAATATGTAAACCGATTTGTACTCAATTGCACCAGTGTTGCATTAGTTTTAGTACTAGAAAACGCTATTAAACGAAGCTCTCGAAGAGAGCTATGATTATCACAATTATATAATTTTTGATTGTAGAGAAAAACAATCTATCTTACCTTCCTCACAGAATTTAAAGAATCGTGCGAGCAGCTCTTCAGATTTATATCGTTTGCTCCATTCACTCGGAGTGTACAGTCGCTCGTGCTCCTTTAAAAATTGAAATAAAACATTAATAAGCCGCAAATTTAATTTTAATCTATTGAGAAAAAAGCATGATCGCACAGAATTTCGTCGAGATTACGTACGGACATAACTTCGGACATCCTCGATTAATCGCTTGACTCTGACAAGAAAATGATTACGAATAATCACTGGTTGTTATTCAAAGCAACGCCTGTTAGAAACTGTTGCAATTTTCTTTAGTCAGAGTATATAATAGTGTCTCGACACTAAGACATATGTGACACGCTCCATAGAGCACTTTCTTGGCTTTGCCTGTTAATGTGTGTATTAGAATTTCAAGTGTGTGTATCTTATCGTGAAAGCGGAGTTGGCAAATAACGCCGACATTCACATATATCGAGTTCCAATATCATTATCGACAGTATGCAAAGTTTTACAAATTTTATTGTAGCTCTATGTCTTATATCTTATTGGTATTAATTTTTACTATATTAATCTAAACGGTTATTTTGAAAACGTTTTGATTAAATAAAATGAACATGAATTTTTTTCAATAGCTTATTACGCAAGAAACATTTATAAGTTGTAGATTATCGCTTATTACGCGAAGTCATTAATGATTTATCTTATAGATTGCGCTGCAAAATCGAGAAACAATTATGTTATACTTCATTTGCTATTTTTTCACATTTTATCTAAGTCTTCTTGAGGATATCTTGAGACATCTTTATTAGGATGTAGGTCGTCTTCTGGATATCTTTAGGTTCCCCCTTGGAGATACCTTGAAGATTTGTACTGCAGTATGGGTCCTGAAATGAGAAAAAATGAAATTAACAATTCAATAATAGCCATAATAAGCATCAAACTTTTCGAAAATGTTTGAATTTTCAATAAAAAAAATATTCTCACTGTTTTTTATTCCATTCCACAATTTTATATTTTCGTAATTATGTTTGCTTTAACTTTATATAAAAAAGTTATATAATTATATATATTATATGAATTAGGTATGTTACTATATTTTGAAAATTATATAATTATATTTTGTTGCAATACATATATATATATATGTATATATACATATATATATATATATGCAAGACTGAGCATTTAAAATATTTTTATTTAAAAAATAGTATTTGTAAAACAATTGTATTTTGTATTTCAAATACTAAGAAAGAAGAGAGAGAAGATTGACAATCTTATTATTTGAATTACAATAATATACAAAAAACTTTCATTTTTTCGATTTTAAATACCATTGAGATATAAAATACACTCGTATTGCAAATACTATGTTTTAAATAAAAGTATTTCAAATACTACATGTCCAAGCTTGTATATATGAATATGTACATTTTATGTTTAAATACATTTATACACATATAGAACATTGTATTCTATGATGAATTAATCGATGTAAAGAAAAAACACAGTGCACATATCTGCAAAAAAAAGACGAAATATATTATTATTCGTTTATCGGATAGTCACGTGAAGACGTGTACGCATCTCATTGTGCGAAGGTAACGAGAGAAGACTACAGGAGAGACCACACGAGGTTGCGGAGGTGGAAAACCAGAAAAACCGGCCCTCTCTCCTTTCTTTCTTTCTTAATATTTCTCTCCGTCCGATCTTCACGCACTTCATTCGCCCTTCGTCTGTGAGAAAGAGAGAGAAAGAAAGGGAGAAGTTACAGGTACCCGCACCAGCTGATGTATCGAGAATCGTGCCGTGTCGACGCCTACCCGCAGGCCGCAGGTAAGAGAAACCCGTCGCAGTCAAAAATTCTCGAGCTGATTCATAGAAATGCCGAACTGATCGACCGGACAGCGTTGCAACGGTTTGTGTCGCATTGCCGAAATTCCATTTTGAAAACTGATGATTTCAAATGGAGCCCATCCCATTTAGGAATTTAAAAAAGTTCCGGATTAAGAAAAGTACCGTATTCCAGAGGAATGCACATTACGAGATTTTTTTTAAACAAAATAAATAAATTTCAACCGAGCAACAGCTCTTTCTCACATCCTATATTTAAAAGACAGAATTGCAAAAAAAAATGCTATAGATACATCTAATATAGCTTAAATAAAAGAAGAAAAATAAAAAATTATGTAGTACGATTTGTTTTATATATTAGATAGGAGTTTCTTCTCAAAATCGGATAAATATGTAAAAATAAATATTACTATATTCGTATGACTTTGCAAAATGTATACATTTCGTGGTAAAAAAGATATTTAATTAAATTTGTATTATAACAAAATAAAGATAAAAATGTAGGATACTATAGATAACAAAAATTCGGCTTCACTCGGTTTCACTTGGCTTCTTTTTCAAATCAACTCTCATGGTAAGTTGAGATACTAAGAAGGTTACTGACCTCGAATTTTTGAAGAGGACCGGATAGCTGTTGTATCATAAACGTTAGATTAACACTATAAAGTCACAGATAAGGAATCCAGATAAATATCTTCCTGGGAATATAATTATAGGAAATGGAATTGAAAATGTAATACAATACATTAACTATAAGTTTAAAAACGAAAATTAGTTTCCTTCAAAAACACCGGCAAAATTAGTCTTTTCATGACAACAAAACCAAACGAAATTAAAGCTGTATTCTTTTTCATTATTCACTAAAACTTTAACTTTTAATTTAATCTAGAGTCAGAACTAATAATTTTACAGCGTCATATAAATCGAACTTTTTGCACAAATTAAATTATTGTAAAATATTTAGTCAAAAATCATAATTCTATAAGAAACTTCTAAAGTTTATCATGACTTAACAGTGTATAATAACAACAGAACAATATAATATAATGACGAGAAAGTTAAGTGATGAAATGGTACCGTTATATTTATTTATAATAAAACAAAATAGTAAAGCTATTTTTATGAATGAATACAATTTTAAATGTGTATTTCAATGCAAGCAGAAAAGATTTTTGGATCTGTTAGAAAAATATATTAAATATACCAACTGGCTTTTCTCTCTATATCTGGCATGTAAATCTCTTCGTCTATTTCTGAATCACATTTACATGATGACGTTCAAAGATTAAAGAAGCGCATCTTTTCGTTAACACGAAGGCATAGACACGAAGGCGTGTTACATGTTGAAATAGCCGGATTCTTGTGGTTCTTGATGACCCTTCTCGGCTTACGCGCGCCTTACTATTGGCTTTTCCATAGCAAGGAGGAATCAACAGTGATGGGTTAATTTATTTAACCCACCGAGTATGGACGACAGCAATTAGTGCTGAACGTGATGTTGAATATAGGTATTCCTTATATTTCATGTTGCGTTCACGATAATGAAGGAAATGCGCGGCCATGACACTAGATATGAGACGAGAGCAGATGCAATAGGATCTTCCTTAATCCGACCTATTTCTAACGAAAAACAGTATCTAACAACAAAAATTGAGTAAATGGAGATAGTATGATAAGATAAAGTTTTAATATTGGATGAAGAAAAAAATGTTAAATATAAGAAATTAACATCATAAATTTTGCACATTCACAAAAATAAAAACTAGAATTAAACATACAAAAAGATACTGAAAATCTAGAAATACCATTTTATTTATATATATATCTACCATATTATTTATTTATCTGTTATTACCTAATGTTTTCACTTTTACGTTCAATGTTCAGATACAAACATGTTTATTTACATTTAGAAATAAAGACTTGTAATTGTCCATCACAAGTTGAGCAACTTATATTTCAACTCTAACGTATATATAGCATTCACTCAATCACATTAACGTAAGACAATTTTCAATTTTTAATTTGATATAACTCTAATATTTGACAATAAATTCACTCACAGATAATTATTTTAGGGAACTTTCGTTTTCAGAGTATGCAACAATTCAAAGTCTCTTTATTTCCGATTATATACTCTGACAACCTAATAATTACCATAGGAGTGTACCAATAATTGAGACTACCACACCAACATCGAGGATTACTCATATAAATTGCGTCATTTGACTTAATAATGTTGATTCTCTGAAAGATTGTAAAATGCATTCAATTATAGTAGTTACGATATTATGACATAAAATTAGAAATTTCACCTATTGTACTGAGGATGATCTAAAAAGTAAGATTAAAACATTTACCACTATTATGTATACTAGTAGATTTTAATAAACATACTTATACATTCTTATCTGTGTCAGCATTCTATGGCATTATTAATTTTAATTTTTTATTTAATTCATTAGAATCTTAACATTGTTTTCATTGTTTTTTAAAGTTTTAATTTTTTAAAAATAATTTGAATAAAAATTATTAATTTTTGTTGAATAATTTCTTTAAAATAAAATTGAACAAAATTTAAATCAAACAAAGAAAATGAAAAAAAATTCACGATCCTGCCAGGATTCGAACCTGGAATCTTCTGATCCGTAGTCAGACGCGTTATCCGTTGCGCCACAGGACCGTCCTTGGGCACATGATTGTTGTGACAAGTATAAAACTATTTGTATACATTGTTTTCTTGAGAAAAAGAAGGTAATAAATCATTATGTCACTTATAACAAAATTCATCGACTTCGTCTGACATAATTTCTTGGGCTATATTTACGTTGAATCATATATAAGGCGACCGTAAAGTCGTGTTTACGCAGCTAAATTCTTATCAATACAAATAAATTTTAATGTCACAATCTACCATATCATACAGTTTATTGGATTATTTTGGAAAGATTAAATGATATCAGACAGTTGGTATAGAATAAGAATTATTTAAAATTTTAAACAAATGTGGCAGCATTTATCAAGCTATTTATTTGCCACTGGCAAACCCGTCTGCACGTAAAAGCCGGAAGTTCTCTACATCAAAAGGCAATGTTGTTTGTGAATTATTATTCACTTTGTTGTGTAATTGTCGTTTATGCTGGAATTGACTTCACCAACCAGTCACATCATTAAATGTAAGTTTAATTCACCAATATAAACAGCATCTATGATTCTTTAAATCATAGGTTTAAAATTTCTTTTATTTTAAAGCTGTTCGTTTCATACATAATTTTTTCCGTTGCACGTCATTCAGGCGATAGTGGACAACGAAGTATTGGACGGTATTGGAGTCTAACAATAGGTAGTCAATGAGATTAGTTTATGACGACTGTTTTGTTCTAGGTGAATACGAGAAACTGGGAAGATACGATACGAAGTAAATGAGAAATAAAGCATATTACCTTAAGAAAGTAAGAAATTAAGAAGTAAGGAAATGACAATAAGAGAAATGAATAAGCGATATTCTGTTTTTAAAAGTACGTTAAAAGATAGATTAAAAGCTATTTAATAAAAACAGAAAATTTAAGCATTAAAAAAAAACATGCACAAGCTGCAGTAGTAGAATCTACCAAAAATGTTTTTTTTTTATATTTCAGTTTGACATATTTTATATAATATTTATCATAAATATTTTCAGTAAATATTTTTTGCTTGGATTATAATGCCTTATTTAAGTATTTTCATAGCATTTACTATAATATAAACAATAAATATTTTATAATACATTTATAATAAATTTATGATCTGTCCAATTTAAGACCACAAAAATATTTACAAAATATTAAAAATAAATCTTACAAATATGTTGTAAACATTTTATAAATATTGTGTCTGGGCGATGACAGTGTCGATATTGTTATATTGTCGTTGCGTAGCTTTTTTACCATATATAATATCTATGCAACGACAACATATAACGATATCGAATTGTTTTTGGTTACAGAATTGGAGTATTGGATTAAGAAACATGTTAAGAAACCACTATACA